TAATTTCCAATTAAAATAGGTGTCATATTGGGGCATATAAATAGAAAAACCAATCATTAAGAACCTACTTACCTCCTCCATTTTCATAGCACAGGTATGGAAACCTCCACACGTTTCCCAAACCAACAGCATAGCCGAGACACGAGAGCAGGAAATCGACCTGATTGTCCCAAGTGCCTCTGCTGCCGTTCTCGGATGCAGTGCTGGAGTCTTCGCTAGAGGCACTCTGTGTTTCAGAAGTGGCATCCACACCTCCAGTGCCACTTTCACCAATCGATGCGCTCTTGTCTTCAACAGGGGTGCTCTCAACATCCTGTTTGACTGGTGTTGCATCTCTGACCCCAATCTCTCCAGTATGGAGATCCTGGCCATTTGAGGCAGCAGCTACACTGCTGATGATGGTCTCAATGGTTGATGAGACTGTCACCTCGACAGGAGTGATTGGGATTACATCGTTGGTGATTGTTCCCTTAGCTGATGTGATTGTCACCGCTTGTCCAACGGTAATGTCACTCTCCACCGTGACGGTATCTGTACCATGAGCCAATTCTAGTCCAGATTTGATGCTCGTTGGTACCTCCTTGCCCTCTGACAATTGAGATTCGATGTCATTAGCAACCTATTATAGATTTAAAAAGTCAAATGCATCTGGATAAATAGATTTAAAGGGAACCAAAACCAAGAACTTAGAACAACATATAATAAATGAACAGGGACAACATTACGAAAATATGAATATTAAAGGTAGTGTACTAAAAATATAATTAATGATTAATAATAAAGAACGAATTCAATATAGATAGATGGATGGATGGATGGATGAATGGATGGATAGATAAATGAATGAATGGATGGATGATTGATGAATGGATGGATGGTTCATTGGATGGGTGGGTGGATGGATGGTTTAATGGATGAATGGGTGGATGGATACATTAATGGCATGAAGGATAAAGGGAAGTATGGATGGATGGATGGATGGCTGATAGATAAATTGATGGCTTGAAAAATTGAGGGATGGTTAGATAGATAGATGGATGAATTGATTGATAGATGGATAAACCGATAAATGGATGAATGAATGAATGAATGAATGAATGAACGAATTAAATATAGATGGATGGATGATGGATGGATAGATTGATAGGTGGGTTGATGGATGGTTTAATGGATGGGTGTGTAGGTGGATAGATGGATGGTTTAATGGATGGATAGGTGGATGGATACATTGATGGCATGAAGGATAAAGGACAGTATGGATGGATTAATGATAGATAAATTGATGGTGGATCGATAATAGATGGATTGGTTAATGGTTATAGGTGGCCTGGAAGAATGTATGGAGAGTTTAACCGACAGATAAATGGCCCGAATGAATGGATTTACAGATTGATGAATGAACCAATGAATGAATGAATGGATGGATGTAATAGATGGATGGACGCATAAAGAAAGAAAAAAAATGATGAAAAATGAAAATACTTACTTGTTGAACAATGTTATAATCTAGACAAACGTCAATTTTAGTCGACATGTTAATGAATTAAAATGAATCACAAATATTAAGGGAGGGCGGGGCTCGTCCAGGCCTATACCTATCTAAAAATGGTATTATTAGTATCTAAATTGAATAAAAAGGAAAGCTAAGCTAGGCTTTTGTTTATTTATGGACAGGTCAATGGTTTAGGAAACGTAATGCAATTAAATTGTATTACAAATAAATAGGCTAGCCTATTTTATTTAAGTCCGTTTTGACTAAATGCAAGACCGACTTATGCAAGTCTCATAAAGGCCAACTCAGACAGCGTCGGCCGACGCAGCCCGACGCGATTTGTTGTCGCGTCGGGTCTGTGTGAGTTGAACGCAGACGCGATGGTGTGCGTCGGGGGCAGTCGCGTAGTAGAATATTAAACGTGTTTAATATTTCTCACGACGGCTTAAGACTGTCCCCGACGATAAATCGGGTCGGGCTGCGTCGGCCGACGCTGTCTGAGTAGGCCTTAAGGCAGGAGGGGTAAATTTTGTCGAGATCATCCGATAAAAGACGCGCGCCAATCGTATCTTAACATGAAGCTCAGAAGAAAACAATAACGCACACGCACGCCTCTAACGAATGCGTAATCACTTTCACTGTTTCATTCATAAACTAACTTCTGTAAAAAAAAAATATTTTAAGTTTACAACGTCACTTACCGGTGCTACTTGATGAGAATGAGTCTTAAATATCCAAGACATTGTAGTAATAATTAATTCATTTATAATTCGTTTGATTAAAACAATAAACTTATTACAGCTTTGTTACTTTAAGAGAACCAAACGGGTAGCCGAAGCAGAAATATGAACGCGTATCAACAAAGCGTTGTCACGACAATAATGTTGCCATAGATTTTAGTTTCTGCGCATGTCTCGCAATTCGCTTTGATACCAACCCAACATTACGCTCGTATCATGAACGCACAACGATACCTACCATGGAGAGAGAATAATACGCGCGCATGAATGGACGCAATGCGAATTCTTTACATTCATTTTTATTTATGCATATGGATGAATGGATGGATGTAATAGATGGATGGCTAACCAAACGGGATGGCTAACCAAACGGGTAGCCAGATGGCTAACCAAACGGGTAGCCGAAGCAGAAATATGAACGCGTATCAACAAAGCGTTGTCACGACAATAATGTTGCCATAGATTTTAGTTTCTGCGCATGTCTCGCAATTCGCTTCGATACCAACCCAACATTACGCTCGTATCATGAACGCACAACGATACCCACCATGGAGAGAGAATAATACGCGCGCATAAATGGACGCAATGCGAATTCTTTACATTCATTTTTATTTATGCATAAAATAGCTTCTTAAAACTATTTTAAGTACCGGTATATAATGCCACTTACTGGTATTGTTTGATGAGAACAAATGTTAAATATCCAAGACATTTTGCAAACATTAAAATTATATCTGCTTTGCTCTAATTATAAAAACCAAATCGGTAGCCAAAGTTAGTAGTAGTAGTAGCTATGTGAGCGCGTATCAACAACATGGTTGTGTCACGACAAAAGGGTTGCCACCGAACGTCAGTTTCTGCGCATGTCTTACACATGCGCATCGTAACGATATCGGCCGAGAAAAATAATAACGCGCTCAGTGATAAACGCGCGAAGCATTCTTCACTTTCGATCCTTTATACATAAACTAGCTTTATAAAACTATTTGAAGTATATAACAACACTTACTGGTGCTTCTTGATGAGAACAATTGTTAAATATCCAAGACATGTTGATTAGTTTGATAATAACAATAAATTATATTAGCTTTGCTCTACTTATGCAACTATACCACCGGTTGCCCAAGTAGCAGTAGCAATATACGAGCGCGTATCAACAAATCGTTGTCAGGACACAGTCGTTGCCATCAAAATGTTAGTTTGCGCATGCCTTGTACATGCGAACTGATACTACGTCCTACGTATGTGTGACGTGTGCGAAGAAAATACACAGGATATTGTGTTGCTTCTAAGAGAATTAACTGTTGGTCAACTATTAACTTGTTCGAAACGTCTTTTGTGCTAGAGCGGAGATCATGGGGAAGGGACGTCACCCACTACATTAATTTGAAGGCAGATTTTGAGAAGGTAATTTGAGAAATCATCAAGAAAATGCCTGAAAAGTTCTTGAATCGAACTGCATAATGACTCAGGCTTTAACGAAAGAGCGTTGTACAGACAGAGTACATGAATTTTAAGCAGTTGCGGATCAAGGAAAGGGGGAGGGGGTGGTTCGGAGGGTTCGGACGAACCCCCCTCTGTGGAGAAACGTAACAAAATACTACTGGGTCCTTACAAAAGGCATGCTAACCTATGGCAGCATAAAAAAAATTAAAAAAAATAAATTAAAAAAAACACAATGCTAGTGTGCAGGTAAAATACATAAACACTATTCAAATCGTAGCAGAATTTAATGGGTTTAATGCTTAGAAAACTCTCGCACACAAACACACCCATACGATAACTTATTTTACAATGAGTTTTTACATTCGCGGACGACATAAAATATTATGATTGACATTTGAGGTAAAATGGAATTTTTACATTATTTAGTAGGCGAAATGGTTTACATTTGTGGCGAAGATGTTGTTTACACTCGTGGGCGAAGTATTACATTTGTGGTTTTTTTTTACATTTGTTGTTGACATTTGCAGTTATTATGACATTTGTAGGTACAATGTTTTTACATTTGTGGTTAATATTACATGTGGTAAATTTTTACATTTGCAAGCTCTACACCGCCCAGAGAGGAACAGCTAGAGAGGGGTCTACCCACCTCAGCCTCACCACACGTTGGGCTCGGGAATAGAAATGTTATGATTATGGCACGTCCCTAGACGGAAATGGCACTCTCAGACATACATAATATGAATATTTTGCTCCATTATTTTCTTTTATTTTGAAACATAGAGGTAGGTAGCCTGCCGGCCCGGCGGCTCCCCCCCCCCCCCCCCCCCCCCCCCCCCTACAATTGAATCTGCCATTGATTATCATAGTTTTTACGCCTTGGCATGGGGAATTAAGACTTTTTATATCTGAGACTTACTTTGGTAACCCAGTGGTAAGGCCGATCTGTTCTGAAATGTTTTAGAGCGTTTCAATTATGCCCAAAAATCAACAACAATAATAATAAACATTTGTTTTTTGGTCCGAAGCGTTGCCGGACGGTATAGATTGACCAAGTACCACAAAATTAGGAAAGGCGCCACCATCAGCTGTGCGATTATGACATAACTCTATCAGGGAGTTTCCCTTTTATCAGGCATAACCCTCTGTATAAACAAGAGGCTTTCACCGCGCCCACCAGAGCGTGCGAACGGCAATGTGTCCTCGCAACGGCTAATAGGACGGGACTTCGCTTACCGTCAGGAAATGAAAGACAATTTATTGATTAAATTTTACATCAATAATTGCATGCGGTAGTGTATCCAGTTTAGTGTTTATAGAATAGTGCTGATGTTTTTAAACTAGGTATTTCGTGTAAATGCTGCTTTTGCATCCACAGTAGATCCAAAATACAGTATAAGAACAAAAGGTAGACGATTAGACTGTAAGTAGCATCTATATTTTGTTGATTTCTGTTCTGTCGAACCGCTAAATTCCTTCATGGTTGAACAGAAGAAAATGGGACCTAGGCTGTTAGAGAGGAGAACTGGAGGCCTACTGCACCTGTTATGACGTCTAGACCTCCCGGTGCTATATAATTATTAGAGAGACAGGGGAGATGATGATTTCTAGAGGGCAGGGAAACATAAATATTTAGTAATTATTTGTAGGCCTACTCAGCTGTAGTCTGTTTTCAGCATTCACTTTGTCTTCTGCCGCTGCGTTCAGTCACGTTTGCTAGGCAGTCCAGTGGCCTTGCCTGTATTTTGCAATCAATTATTTATAAGTCTTGTTCAGCTTGAGTAATTAATTGTGCAAGACCCATGGTACACAATATCTTCAAGCGCATGTCGTGTTCAATTTATTGATTTTTTAGTTTCATTACATTTAATGGGAAGTATTGCTGCATTAAGGTAATATGAATTTAACATGGTTGATCAATGCCTCATTTTCAGCATTTTTGCTTATATGAATTCTATGTCATGATCTTATACTGGATTTAGGCCAGACCATCGAAACCCAGTACACTAATTTGCCGAAACCCATAACATGCCGAAACCTGGTTTGCCGAAGTCAGCCAAGGGTAGAGGGTGAAGTGCTAGGGGACAGGTTGGGGGGGGGGTATGTTCCCAACCACAATATTAGGGATTAGCAATTAGCAAATTATTATTTTTTTCATAATGAATACTTAAGACATTTGCTCACTGAATGGTTCATTGCATACCTTAACACAGTAAATGAGTGAAAGCGGGACCCATTTTTCTTACAAAATCGACTATATAATTTGAATGGTTTCATTTGGCAATCTGGGACGATCGGATTATAAAACTAGATGTTTTAAGCTTTATAATCATCTATATATTCTTTCGATTAATACAAAATTGAGTGATCATTTTTTCTTTTAAAGTTGACAACATCTTATGCTTTTGCATAGGAAAAAGGTTAAAATGATAGTGTTTTTTAGTATACTTCCAGCTTCTTCTTAACATAACTCTGCAACGACAGGTCGCTAAACTTCGGGGTTAACGGTAAAGTGTAGCTCATAAATTAAGCTTTTGCCATGTAAGTCTCATCCTGATTGGTTAAATAACTAGTGATCATTTTGTCTTTAAAATTTTGTTTTCAGAACTGTTATTAACCTGCCTATGAATGACGTCACACGCTTTAAGCCAATAACAGCTACGAATTTCGAGTTTTCTGCGGTTAGTTTACTTGATTGAGCTTTTTTCAAAAATAGGGAAATATTTTTCATCAGGTAATATTTGTGATCTGATGACCAAGTCATGGCATCGGATGACAGGGGGTCCAGACCTATCCTATGGGAGGGCAAATTCCCCCTGCCACCCGCTGATGCCACCACTGGCTGTCACTGCTAAAAATATTCTGTTTTTTCATGAACAGAGGTACAGTTCCAACGATGCTCAGGGTGAAGCAACAAAGCAATGGAATTGTAATAATGTCACTGAAAACAGTGATAATAGCAACATCCAGTCTAATGCTAGGCAGCTTCATTCTATCCATTTGGCTGGCATTGGTATACAACTATGAAAGTGCTATAGGAACACATTGTAAGGTAAATATCATAATATGAATGATTGTATAATGTGCTATTTTAAGACCAGTACCGGTAAAAATATTTTAATTCATGTTTTATTTATTATTTATTTATTTTATTTTATTTATTCTTGCATAAAATACAACAGGACAGAAGAACAAACAAATAGATAAGAGAAGCAAAAGCATAAGACCGCTGTCACCGATAAAGTGTGCTTCTCTAGAATTACATATACAAGAATAGATTATTGTTATTATTATTATTACAATATATGTTCAATAACATCTCTATTACTAGAGACATACTCTAAAAATATTGCTTTAAAGAAAGTTAAAAAATGATAATGAAATATTAACAAACAATTCTCAGATCTCACTGGGGGATGGAATTCCATGTTCTGGTGGCGTGCACGAGGCAGGAACCATACCAAGTAGCCAAGCGCTCAGCTCCTCTGTCGCTCAGCTAATCAGCTCATCTATCGCTTAGCTAATTTATCAGAACGCCAAAAGTACCAAAGCTGCAATCCAACCGGCTCATTCCTTGATCCCAAACAATGTTCTAGGTGACCCCATATCCCAGTTGGGCCATTTCCATTTTTGTATTCTCCCCCCTCAACAGCAATCTTGGCAATGACAGTCACTCCAAAACAGGACAACATTCAATTTTCACTGTCGCACTTAGTGTCATGACCACTGCACTAAAAATACTTTTGAAGAACAATTCTAAAGCAATTTAAATATCAGCATGTGTTTTTTGTTAGACTATACAAAGCATTATTGTGTGTGTGTTTTGAGCATGTGATCAGTTAAAAAATATATTTCAAAAGCTCCCTTTGTCTGGCGAAGAGGTACAATCTTTATGGGAGAAATAGTAAAAAGAGATCTAAACAAATTTTATGAATAGGATTTTGCCATATATTCATGTTGCAGGCTTAAATGTAAATTTTGCAATGAATATGTGAGTCACTACTTCCTCCTTTAAACCCCCTGACTTTTCATATAGGAATTATGTTTTTTTTTTGTTTATACTTTCCTTCTGTAGAACCACATACTAGAATGGTATTCATCAATTTATTTAATAAACAGAATATATAAGCTTACACAATAACGTTTTTTAATTTCTTAAACAAAGAATATGTCATGTCTAAAAACTCTTTAGGTAGATGCCTTCCTTATTAAAATACGATTTTTGTAATTTTTAAATAATAGTGTATTTTTCATAAGAATCTGTTAACTACTTCCTTCCAATTGGAGTGATGTTTTGCCCTAACGGACATGATTTTCGTAGAATACTCAGGTAGGAATCGAACCCACAACCTTCAGATCTAGCCTGTCCTAACCACTAGACTAGACCACAAAGCTTACTCTTAGTGGATGTGTGTCAAATTTATTTGAAACACTACACTAATTTTTTAATTTATTTTTATAATTTTTCTTTTATTTATTGACTTAATGTTAACAGCTGTTTTACACTCTGTATTAACTTTGTACTGTATTTTGATTTATATTGTTTTATATCATTTATATATTGTATTTTCTGGGTCGAACCTCTCCTGCGCGAGAGTGTTCCTCCATTTTAAATAGTAGGCTATTGTTGTTGGGTCAACTGGTGGGAGTTTCCAGGAAAAACTATGGTTAAGGGCTTGCATTTTGTCTTGTTTTCAATCAAAATGGTCTTTTTCTCATTTATCCATCTACTATGTTTTTTGGCACGAATTCGTCACTCACATCACAAACTGACACAATCAAAGTAGATTTGTTAGTTCGTAAGAGCAAAAAAGTGTATCGTAATAAAAAGCATTTTTTAATCTTTGACACAAAAATTCTGAAATGACAACGGTGCATATTTTGACGCACTTTGATGTTTTCACGAACTAACACTATGTGCTTTCATATTACAAAGTGTTACAGTAGTTTGCGACGTGAAAAATTGTCAAACTTGTCTTTCCTACTGTACACCATTAATCATATTCTACAATATTGTATGATCACTTCCTATTTTTATTTGTAATTTAACTGACAGGTTGCTAACTACCTTCCGTCTGTCAGTGCGGCCATATCTATCCAGCCTTCCTGCTATGTTTGGAGGATAACCATCGCCCTCTGTAGCCCCACACGGCTGATGCTAGCCTATATGCACTTTATCTACTTCTACAATCACCAATCTCGAGTCAACACTAGTTATAGATTTCTCTGTATTCTGTGCGTGGTTTTTGAAATTTCAGAAAATCTGTCTCTAATTGGTTTAACCTACATATCATCTAGAGACCTAAAAGGTACAGTAGGAATCCTTGTTTACACTTAAAAATATATTGCTTTAAAGTTAAATGCATACCGTACTCGCGCGAATAAGTGCCCCGTTTGAATAAGCGCCCCTCTCGAATAACCGCCCCTCCTAACATGAAAATTTCCTTAAGCGTCCCATTTGAATAAGCGCCCCTTCTAATTTGAATAAGCGCCCCCTCGTAAGATTTTCTTTTAGCAAGTCAATAATCCAATCAATCCTGGGACTGTGGTTGTTGGCATGATTTGAGCTGTAGAGTAAACACATTCTTCTTCAGTCAATATTCTTATGGGAAATTATTAAATTCAGGAGGCACTTTTTGAATGAAAAAAGATTATATAAGGATTATTACGAATGGTGGTTAGAAAAGATAATCGTCCAGAGAACATGGCTCAAGAGTACGGTATTCCTATTTCTATTTAATTGATCAGCAGATGTGAGGTGGGGGTAGGGGATTGGATGGGGTGTGGTATAAGTCTTGCACTATAGCAATCGCCTGCTGGAGAGATCAGATTATTTAATTAAAATTTTCAACTGCGCATGAAATAAAGGAATGTGGGTTCACCTAATTGTTGACAAGCAAACAAAACACCAGTTTTTGACAGTCGTCAGCCAAAGTAATTCTGTGGAGAAGGCAGCGCAACGAATCGCTTTTAATGACGATCCATTCAGACTGCCACCGACAATCGGCAGACGGCGTGGCGTCACCTAACGCTTACTGGAAGCAGAGTTGGATTCATACACGGCCATACAATGTAGTGAGTGCCTGGCTTACAACATGACGACACAATGCAAATGCGCCCAGTGTTAAAGCCATATGTTCCTTTCCTCCTTCCTTCCATCTCTGTACAAGCTCCTCTCCTAGGTTGTATATTAATTGCATTATAGGCCACTGCCGCTATTATTATATTATGACTTTATGCCTTGTTTACCGTGTGTACCAATTTCTTTATTTATTTTTTTTTTAAATTTTAGAAGTCCATGAGAAGCTGTTCTTGATTTTCCAAGCATCATCTATGCTATTTATGCTCTCAATGTGTGTTATGTATAAACAATATACAAAATATTCTGACCCTGAAAATGCAAGGAGTGTAAGTATTAATTTTATTATTCAATTGTGAATATAATATGATAATATAATGTCATAATTTCAGTTCCATTATGTGGGAGCATTTGGTGCAGCTGTTGCGTTTTGGCCTCTCAACCTTGAGGGCAGCATTTCAAACCTTTGCTGTGAATTTCACTGGTGTCCTTGGGCAAGGCACTTTATCTGTATTTTTTCTCAATCCACTAAGGGGGAAGATCCTGCCCAAGCTGAACAGAGGGCCCAAGAAATGGCAGGTAGCATTCTTTTTTTTCAATATTTTTTCCAAAATGAATAATGGGTAAGTATATTAAACTTCCACGAGAAAATTGTAATATACACACTGCTATCACAGGCCCTCAATAATGACATGGGTCCCTTAAGAATGGGGAGAGGGGAGGGGGAAGATCCTGTGGCCCAAGCTTATCAGGGGGGCCCAAGAAATTGCAGGTAGCATTTAGTTTTTCAATATTTGTTTTAAAAAATATTGGGTTAAAACATTTTTTTGTTTGACAATCCTGGCCATACTTTTAAGCGCCCGGGAGGTATCTTTTGCCTGACAAGCAGATCACCTAACTCGTCCTCAGTGACGAGTTCAAATCTACTTTCATTTATTTTTATTATTTATTATAATCACTGTTTTGAGTTTGATCTGACCTGATGGTTAAAAATCTTTTGTTATTCTTAGATTGTAGACGTGACTGGGAATTACAGATGTTGATAATTCATATATGATACCTGTTTTATTACAGGAAAAAAGGACACTCTATTCGAAGATTAGTGTATTGGTAGTAGATATTTTAAGCTTTTTGATTGCTGTGTATTTCTTCTTCCGACACAACTGGTACTGCGAGACTGGGGGTAAGTCGCAATTCACAGTAAACTTTATCCAAATCATTCAATCCAGATCACTTATCAAACAAGTTGCGTACCTGGATTCTTGAAATTGGTTAGGACTGATGGGGGTACTCAATGATTAAGTGAGGGGGCGGCAGCTCACAAATTAGAGTGACTTAAATTGCTTGAGTGTAATTTTTTGCCTACAATGTCGTGGGTGGGGGGGAATGGTGACAGCTTGCTAATTTTTACCCAAGATACGCCACCGCACTTTATCCAGATTGTGGCTGCAATAGTTTAGCAAGTTGCCTCATCTTCCTCATCACAACCATTGGTCCTTCCGTCACAACGTTTACTGCGAGACTGGGGTAATTTGCATCACACGGCTTTAGTATCCACATTCAATCTGGATCGCTTATTCCAATTGTGGCTGCGATAGGTTAGTAAGTTGCCTCTTTCTCATAGCAATCTTAAATGCGGCTCAGCCACTCAATTCACAGGAATTATGGGTTCTTTTTTTTACTTGATTCTGAATGAGGTGATAAATTCGCACATTGTGTATTTAGGTATTCAGTGACTAGGAAAAAGACACAAAAAGTTTTAATGTGATTTATCTTTTATTTCTTTCAGTTTATACTCTGTTTGCGTTCTTTGAGTACATCTTAGTTGTCGCCAATATCGTCTTTCATTCGCTTGTAACTTACAATTTTGTTGATAGAGACGTAAAATTTGGATGTATAAAAGAAAGTCACTATGACTGAATCCTCATGTTACAACCCCAAGGCAAATTAAAGATATTGGCTGGCCACAAATAGAACCAAAACATAGAAAAAACCTCAAGTTACAACCAAATACACGGTATAGCGTATGGCAAGGTGTGGAGAGCATACTGGTTAGATGAAAGAACTTCGGTAGAGGAAAGAATTCAACAACAGCTTGATGATGTTTGTGGAGATATATAAAATGATATAAAAATTAACTGAATATATTTGTAAAGCATAATGGTAAATCCTTGATCTCAAGTAAACACCAGCGGTGATTCTGTCAACGGATCCTGTCAATGATGGCCATGTGTCTTCTTGAGACGACCGCTACTACAACAGTAACTGTAACAGTGTTTTGCCGAAAAGCTGGTGCAAAGCTATTCCTATGGTTGATGGGGACAATTTCAGGGTTATGAATTTTGGAAACACAGGTCGCATTACTGTACTTGTTAATATGATGGCTTTTAGAAGTACTGTACGAGAACGCGAGACTTCTTTTAAGCCAGCTTGCCTCTAGGCAAACTTGTTTGCGCAAAGCCAAAGCATTCAACCGTACCCGTGCAGAGTTTAAATTGCATGCGCGAGTCCTTCACCAGATTGTTCGCTTTTTCGCTTTGGTGCTTTGCTTCAGCAAATTCTGGTAATCCTAAATTTTCTGTGTTTTGCGGTGATTAGTTTACAACAAAGCTTCATTTTAACCTTTATTGTATATATTCACTGTTACTGAGAATGCACACTTTATAGGTGTGCCTCAATATTCACTAATGATTCATGTAGCCTACTTTAATTGACAAATATGATGCTGACATCAATATCACACTTGTGAATATATGGCAGCTGACTTAACAGGATGGTGTGTAGTTCTGCGTTGTTTGCAGTTTTTATATTATCTGGGTTATGTATAAATAATTTGATAATTTTTAAAATTTGTATTTATAAAAACCTTGATTTGATTTTTATTGTGACGCTATACACAGTTTATTATTTCACACATTTGATAATTACATTTTATCAGCATTTTTAATACCTAGTATTGCTTTTAATGTAAAAATTATAAAATATATTTAACATCAGAATAATGATGATTTTGTGCAATAAATCGCGAGAAAGAACAAAAATTTAACCTATACAGCACTGTATATGATCAAAAATGTTTCTTCCAAATTTTTAAGTTCATTCTGGAAAAGTAAGTTCGGGTAAAAATTGTAATCAAGACACAATATGGTTTTGTACATTCAAACTTTTGCTTTAAAGTTTTATTGGTTGTTAGAAAAAAAAATTTTGGATCTGTAGGAGCTTCGAATGAGGAACAAAAATACCCCCTTCTCCCACGGCTTGTCTCTTTCTCTTTTTCTTTCTCTGCTCCTAAACTCTGGAACTCTCTGCCTCCTCAATTACGTATCATTTCTGATCCGCAATTATTCAAATCTACTCTTAAATCATTCCTCTTCAAATAGTTCAACTTCTTTCTAACATCCTCCAGCGCCGGTGACAATCCAGTTTTGTTTTTAAATGTGTATTATTATTATTATTATATGCCCGACTTACAAAATTCGTCCAAAAATCTTACCAGATCTGTGGGTGAACACCTTATATACACGAGAATATATGGTATCGGTCTATTATTGTAAACTAAAAATTTTGTAATGTTCGTGCATGCAAGTTTGATGTCTAGTGTGAACAATTTCTTATTCAAATTTTTAAAATAATTATACAAGTTTTTATTTTTGATCAACTAAAAAGTAATAGCCAAGTTTTAGATTAATCAAATCAACTAAGGTTCATTTGAAATTGTATGTGAAAGTAGTAATAATGGTAATTAATAACATAATAATAAACATAAGGCAGTTGATTTTTATTTATTGACAAAATAAATATTTAAAAATTGCAAGTATACAGTAATTTAGGGTGAAATTGATAGAATTATACTATATTTAGAGTTTTAATGTGAAATGTTATTTAATTTTTTAAATTAATATTAAAGCAATAACTAGATTTATATGAATTTTTTTATATGCTTTAACTTGCATATTCTGAAATAATTATATATTGTAATAATAGTATTAAGTCCATTTTTATTTGATACATATTACAAACAACAAATTTTGAAATTTCATGTAGATATTTGCATACATATCACAGTCTTTGTAATTTTGGGATGTTTGTGAAAGGACGTGATCCTTATACTGTAATAGGAGCGGTTGGCGCACCGGTTGTGGCTTGGACTCCCAACCTTGAGGTCGGGGGTTCGGAACTCTGGCTGTGCAAATTGCTTGTGTCCTTGGGCAAGGCACTTTATCTACGGTTGCCTCTCTCTACCCAGGAGTACAAGTGAGTACCTGGTAGGTTCCAACACAACCTGCGCTGATTATTAGCTGCAATATTATGGAATAATATAATTTCATTTACTAATTTAATTTGGTGTTCAATGTGTTCCATATGTGTTTGATCCAATGACCGGGGTAGTAATGTGAAGTGCTTAGAGGCCTTGTAAAGGCATGAAGCGCTATATAAGAACGACATATTATTATTATTAATAGCCGTTATTCTTATCATAGGCAGTACGGTTCTTAAATTGTGGGCCTGGTAAGCAATTTGCGAGGGAGCGAAAAATCAGAGCTTGAATCAGGGAGTCGCCGAGTATCCCAGTTGCCATCAAAATTTAGCATTCCAGGAGACTTTGGTGATTTGTTTTTATAATGGAATTGTTTATTATACCTTCCGACCACAAAAACAACAAACTGGTGATCCATCACCCTATTGTTTTGTGAAAATCAGTATTAAAACTTTTTTGGCGAATTACTGTTGAGGCCTACAGGAGGGTTGGCCCACCCACTGAAATAGCTGGGTATAGCCTAGGACACTCGGCCTACCCTGTGCCACCGGCAAGTGATTTTTATAATAATAATAATAATAGTTGGACTTGTAATAGTGCATTATGCAAATAAAAACCTCTGTATTTGGTGATTGAGCTCTTTGAGTTGATATTGTGATAGTGTAAAAATATCAATTTAGCCCTATACAACTAAACCTCCTTAAACCTAAAGCATATGATTGGCTGTTGGATCCTACTTGTACAAAGCATTTTGTGGAGGTAGAAACAGGCCCCTGATATTGCTTTTAACATTCACAGTTGAGTATCAAGCTTTTCCACTAAATCCATTTGTTTGAACCTTTTCCTCTCTGCTGGCCAGAATGGAATGCATAATTACATTCCATGTTATCCATAAATGGGAAGATAAAATTTCTTTCCATTAGCCTATGATGAGGTTTCTTGAGTCAATGATTTTTTTTTCTTTAGTTGACACTTTTATCATGGATACTTGTTCAATTTAAAAACATAATCACTGGAATTAAAATGTCGATCAAAACATGAATCGGATGTCCGCTCTTTATTTTGCCATTACATTAAATTACTACACAGTTCTTCGTTATCGTAACCATTTGGTGCTTTTAAGCACGTAACATCAACATGTTGAGTCATATTTGTAACACATGAACAACAGCATATCATTCTAGCAATAAAACAATAAATGCATTTTATGCATATTAATAGTACATCTGAATATTACACTGATTTACAATTTGCTGTCACTTTGGTGTATGCTAAGCCTACTCTTAGCATGGATCAACTTGACATGAATGTACATTACAGATATTAGTAGCATGTTTAAAATAGTTCAAATATTTCTATCAGGTCACTGTGTATTTTTAATATGTGAGGTGTCGTGATAAAATGAGTCTTGTACGCTAGGTCAATTTGATATATTCAAGAAAATACACATGAATTGATATTTTCATAAATATTTGGTTTCAATGTTTATGATTAGTTTGATATGTATATATGATGTACAGTACCTCGACACTGCTGTATGGAAACTCAAAATATTATTATAACTCAGAAATAAAGAAACTTTAAAATATATATATATATTTTTGTTTTATAAATTGACTTGTACCATAGTGCGAGTGTTACAGAGAAAACACCTGTAAAAAGGGAATTGCATTTGTATCAATGTGCTATTGTATAATATGGAGAACTGAGCTACAGAATGAGTGTATAGGAAATGGCCTTGTATTGTATTGTACCATGCGAGTGTCAGCCACATAAGGAGCCTTCACGTCACGGCCCATGTCAAGTATCCATCCTACCTGCGAATCTTTCTACCACACTACAGTACGTAATCTAGATCATACACACTAGCTACGTAGTGACTCGAAAAGAAGACGTTTATATAGAGAACTCGTACCATGATGTGAGTGTATATACTACAAGAAAATACACTTATTTATAATAAAACTTTCCAAGCAAAATCTGACAAAAGGGATGTTCATACAGCTTGGTTTGAGAATAACAGTCTATTACTTCATCACACACAAGGGCATCATGCATTACACAGTTTACATATAGTTTCAGTTGAGTATGGTTCATCCTCAATAAAGATTTCCAATTAAGCCCTGTTTAATGCTAGGAATACGCTTTACTGTACATAGAATTTACTACTACAGTAGCTGAAAACTGACATTATAGACTGACATATGCACAACTTGTAATTGACCCACATTTCTGAATTAATACATTAATTGCTGAACACCGCTAATTCTTTGCTCAGCATTATCTTTGAAGTAAATGCAAATATTTGGCATAAATCACGCAGATATGGACTAAATCATGCAGCCATGGACACAATGGTTTAGCCCAAATTACGAATCAAAGTGGACACAATGTTTCGGCCTAAATCATGCAGCCATGAAAACAATGTTTCAGCCAAAATCATGAAACCATTAAAGTGGACACAATGGTTTGACCTAAATCATGAATCTATTACAGTGGACACAATGGTTCGGCCTAAATCATAAATCTATAAAGTGGACACAACGGTTCGGCCTAAATCATGCAGCTGTGGACACAATAGTTCGGCCAAAATCATGAATCAATTAAAGTGGACTGGACACAATGGTTGGCCCAATCATATATCCATGACACAATCGATCAGTCTATGCAGCGTTGAACACAATAATTTGGCCTAAATCATGCAGCTGTGGACACAATGATTTGGCCCAAAATATACATCCATTGAAGAAGGTGCACTGGATCGGCCAAAATTATGCATCCATTAAAGTGGATGAATGCAGCAGTACAACTTATATCATGCATCTGTTTTTCTGCTGTTACAATGACACGCTAGATTACAACATTAGCATACTTATGCACATTCAGAGAGGCTTAGCAGCAAAGGTCTTATTTTCTCAACAACAAACTGCATCATGGTATTGGCTACTAGATGCGAATGAATTTGGTCTGCTTAGGAGTCCGAGAGTTTGGAGAGAGCGATTAGCGTGAATCTCAGTTCTGTTGGGTCACGATTCATAAATTTCATGCACACAGCGGCTGCATCCTGCAGTAGAGAAAGACACATGGTTTAGGAATTACAGTTCATAATCTTAATTATGATGGTTATGCTGTTGATGTTAATGATACTGAGGCCATATGATACTAATCAACTGTGATGATAATGATTATGATTGATAAAAATGATAATGATGATGATCCAGATAAAGCTATTGAAAAGTCCATAGGACAATGATGATAATGATGTTAGTAATGATGAGCCAATTAATGCATTAGTCAATCATTCCTTTTATTGCAACTATCAATTAAAACTGTAGTTGAATTATACATACTGTATTTAAAAGACAATGAACAAAGAAGCACATAAAAACAATAGGAGTACCCAAGCAGAAAAACAACATTAAAAATCACATTATTGAATTATTTCGAAAAGCCCATATGATGCTGACAATGAAGATGAATAATAATAATAATAATAATGGTGAGCCCATATGAGGCTAATGATGATAAAAATTGTGAGGTTAATGTTACTAAACATTATTATATTAATAAGTCAAAAACTTGAACAATGATAATAATGGTGATGTTGATTATAACTGTATTTGTAGAGCACATTACAAAAGTGTCTCTATGTACTTAGTGATGATAGTGAAGACGATAATGACAATGATGATAATGATGATAATGATATTGGTAATGAGGAAAATGATCAACGATGATGATGATGATGATGATGATGATGATCTATTAAATCTTGATTGAGAATTATTGTATTATAACATAATGTAAAACAGAGTGTGCAAGAAAATAATGTTTTCATGGCAAGCAATCAGTTTGTGATTTAGCAAGAGTAAATTAGGCAGGAAAATAGCGCACTCTGGAAGCACAAAATTAAAAAGAATACTTAATAATGGTTAATAGCAGTTTGCATATAATTGCCTTCACTCTCATTTTTTCACTCAAAAACAAAGTAGGACCAAGGAGCAATTTAGATATTTTAAAGCCAATTTCTATAGTATAGATAGCTCAGTGTGTTTCAATTTGCTATATTAGGTGCCTTACAAATGTCTATTGATGTTATTATTATTACGTTAATTAAGCAATTACCAAATAAATGGATGATATTTAAAGAAATACTATAATAATTCAAGTTGGTATTTTATTTATTAATTGTTAATGCAGTTTTTATTAATCAATTTGTATTTTAAAATATTTTAATTGTAAGATAAATAGTTTTTACTTCCATAATGGAAAATATTGAAATCTGCAAATGAATCCTTTTGCAAATTCTGAATTAGATACTGTATAGCTCTGTTGATTGTGGAATATAGTCAATATACTGTATCTGATGTGTTAGTCTGTGTTAAATAGGCTAATTAGAATGGTAGAAAACTAGTCACAAGAGAGGGCGCTTTTTAGTAAAGCATGCTAAGCCTGCTTCAGGAATTACCTCAAGTACTGTTTCGTTGCTGCATTTTCCGTGGTTAATGGGATTAGGTTTCCTGCCATCCATTTCATACAGACTACCATCCTTATGCACCAGGGCAATGAAGTGCAAGTTTACCTCCTCATCCACAGCCTACACACCCACAGGCGGGGTAGAACAAAAAAGGGAATTGGTCATGCACCGGGTGTTGCCATGGCGCTATCAACATACCTGCAGGAAACTGTCATCAGTTGTTGGGCCGTGATTAACAGGGTACTGTCTACGGCCGTCCATCTCGTAAATATGCCCATCTTTAGCAATGAGTGCTAAAAAGTGCAGTTCAGTGTGTTCTTCACGAGGTGGGGGCTGTAAGAACGTTTAAACCTTGCCAGCAATTTCTAAAGCTCTTATTCGAAACTTATCAAATGTTCTTTGACAAAAAACTCTTAGACTGTATGCCCATATATAGTCATGATGTGCCCATATATGGTCATGATGTGATGTCATCATGACCATATTTAGGCATGTCACATAATTTTGTCAAATAAAATTTGATAGTCTGCATATTAGAGCTTTAACTTATCAAATAAAGAACTCATTACATAAAGATATGGAAATGCCAAGGAATGCAAATTGAAATCTATACTATAGGTTGTAATAAGAATCTGTGTGTCTCTACTCGCATCACCAAGTTTTCTGAGATATCTGTGCTTTGCCATATATGGACATAATGATATCTTATCAAACAAAGATCTCAAGAATCAGTAAACACACAAATACAAAGGATTGTAAATTCAAATCAATAATATAGGATGCATGATCATCTTGTTAAGCTGTATTCACACTAACACCTTTTATGTGACTTAAGTCCTGTTCAGACTATCAAATTTTATTTGACATGTGACGATGACCTCACATCATGACCGTATATTGGCACATCATGACCGTATATTGGCACATCATGACCGTATATTGGCACATTATGACTATTTAAGGGCATGCAACAGTTTTTTTACAAAGAAGCTTCTATAGTGTGGATAGAGCTTACTACTGTGGTTTCACATATATGAAAAAAATCATATGTTGCCCATATATGGGAATTATAATATATCACATATATGAAAAAAATCACATGTTGCCCATATATGGGCATTATAATATATCACATATATGAACAAATCATTGCCCATATATGGGCATTATAATACTGTATATCACATGCAAAAATTGCATGTTGCCCATATATGGGCATTATAATTATATCACATACGAAAAAAAATCACATGTTGCCCATATATGGGTATTATACCACATATATGAAATAAAATGACATGTTGCCCATATATTGTATGGGTATTATAATATATCACATATATATAAAAAATAGAAAATCACATGTTGCCTATATATGGGCTTTATAATATATCACATATATGAAAAAAAAAATCACATTGTTGCCCATATATGAGCATTATAATATATCACATATGAACAAATAATTGCCCATATATGGGCATTATATCACTCTATCACATGCAAAAATTACATGCTGCCCATATATGGGCATTAAAATTATATCACATACGAAAAAAAATCACATGTTTCCCATATATGGGTACTATACTATGAAAAAAATGACATGTTGCCCATATATGGGCATTATAATATATCAAATATATGAAAGAATCACATGTTCCCCATATATGGGCATTATAAAATATCATATATATGAAAAAAAATCATGTTGCCCATATATGGGCATTATAATAGATCACATATGAAAAAATCACATGTTGCCCATAGGGGCATTATAATATATCATATATGAAAAAAATCACATGTTGCCCACATATGGGCATTATAATATACCACATATATGAAAAAAAAAATCACATGTTGCCAATATATGGGCATTATAATATATCACATATGAAAAAAATCATATATTGCCCATATATGGGCATTATAATATATCACATATGGAAAAAAAATCACATTTATTTATCACATAAAACTTGATAATGTGGACAGGGCTACTGCTACAGTTGAGAATATGAGGCCATTCATAGTACAGAGATGTAATGATTATTAAAAAAAAAAATGGCATTACACTCAATATTGTGTATTGGCATGATAGGACCTAGTTTATCACAAAATTGTAATGTATCTGTTTCATATTTACCATTCAAGCTTGGCTTAACCTCTACTAGTGTGAAGTGGTAATTATTTTTTTATTAAATATATTCACAATTAATTATATAAGCCTAATTAATAACATAAAGGCCAGACAATTTTCTAATAAGTATAATATAAACATTTAACTGCACCAAACTTTTTTTCATTTTTTTTTCTATTGATATTAGGAAACACAGGCTCAAATGCAACCAGACTGTCCTATTAGCATATAAAATTAAAGAACCAACAATAAAAGATGCTGCAACAAGGATTCTACAGTACATACCTCAGTCTGTCCTTCTTGTGCACTTTCTTCATGTGCGCTACTGAGGCCCTCGTCTTCTTTTAGATAACTTGCTCTCTCTTCTGGTGTCATGTCCTTTGTCTTTTCAATGAAATTACTCAAGTATCCACCTTAAAAAGAAAAATTTCAAGGCTTACATAATTTCATCTCTTATAGGAACCATAATTATTTGCTTTTCGTTGATTCTGCATACCAGCTTTAATTAAAGGAAACATTACAAATTTGGCAAAAGACCTTACTATATAAAAAGTTATTTTATTTCAATATCACTCTTGTGGTTACATTTTCTTCTTTTCTAAATGTCAAAGTTGATACATTAATATTCCAATGCCTTTCCTGTTGGACCACATGCTCTGCTATATGCAAGTAGACATATAGCGATTTTGTTTAATACTCAGAGGACAGGAAACAAGTCACTAAACATGTGGATCTTGCTAATTTTTTTTTTTTAAATGCTATCGACAAACGGCATTATTTACAATTGAATTCAAAATACCACAAATTATACTGTAAGTTGCCTTACTAAGCTGTATTTTATCACTGTTGTTGACGATTGAGTGAAGTAGAGCTATGGTACCACAAGCATTGCCGATCGTCTGTTTAATAAACATCAGGTTTTTGCTCACTTCTTGGCCTTCCTTGTCAATTTTCTCCTGTTCTTCTTTACTGGATTCTTCATACTGCAAAAAAATTACAGTATCCTATCTAGAAATCTTGAAATGGGGAGGGGTGCTGATTGGGGTGCAAAGTTAGATTGGGGGCTCAATGATTAAATTAGAGGGATTGATGATATCGAGAAAGACACTAAATTACAAAATTGAAAGTGATTTTTAACTACTTGACCTCGATTTTTTTGCTTCAGACATTTTCAATTGGAAGGGACGGGAGTGGGGGAGCACCCTTAGCCTGAAGGGTGCTAATTGGGGATGCAAAGTTAAATTGGGGGCTCAATTACAGTATTAAATGAGGGTGATCGATTATTAAGTGAGAAAGATACTAGGTCAGAAAATTGAAAACGTTTTTTTTAACTAATTGACCACAATTTATTTTGCTTCAGAAATTTTTAATGGGAGACAGAGGGAGCTGGGGGATGCAACCCTTGATATACCACTGAGAATAAATAAATAAATAAATAAATAAATATTTCCAGTATTCAGTAATATGCTGTGTATAAGAGACAGGTGATGTCATCATGACCATATTTAGGCATGTCACATAATTTTGTCAAATCAAATTTGATAGTCTGGACAGGGCTTTAGAGTACGCACGAAAAGTATAATTGTCATAATTCGTGAGAATACAACTCAATAGCCACCGGAATATCACGATAAGAAAGTATAATACATAGAGGCCTACTCCAAGTATTGAAATGCACGCCATCGTGTTGGGATTCAATATTTCGACATTAATTATGTCATCATCAGGAATTAATTAATTCGGAATTTCACGAATTAAGTGTATTCTTATCTCTTTGTCGCCATCAATCTTCTTTTTTTTTTCTTCACTCACTTTCTTACACATATTGGTATGTGGTTGTGTCTGGGGTGGGGGGCGCAAGCTAAGGCGACTACACTCCGTGTACTCTACATTAGAGGGATTGATGATATCGAGAAAGACACTAAGTTACAAAATTGAAAGTGATTTTTAACTACTTGAAATTGATTTTTTTGCTTCAGACATTTCCAATTGGAAGGGATGGGAGTGGGGGAGCACCTTTAGCCTGAAGGGTGCTGATTGGGGATGCAAAGTTAAATTGGGGGCTCAATTACAGTATTAAATGAGGGTGATCGATTATTAAGTGAGAAAGATACTAGGTCAGAAAATTGAAAACGTTTTTTTTAACTAATTGACCACAATTTATTTTGCTTCAGAAATTTTTAATGGGAGACAGAGGGAGCTGGGGGATGCAACCCTTGATATACCACTGAGAATAAATAAATAAATAAATAAATATTTCCAGTATTCAGTAATATGCTCTTCCACCAGAAAATTGTCAGGGATGAGAAGCTAATTAAATATATTACTTGGCAGATATATATAGGTACAAAAATTTTATTAAAAATAACTATGGAATTAATAGAGAAGTGAAGTTTTTTATTACCAAATACAGTAATAATATCAATTTCAAAGTCACATTTAGTTGAAAAGAATATGAAAGCTGTAGCTTAGATGTTCGGGCACTAAGCTGTATCTACCACTTGAGTAGCGTTGCTTAATATTGAAAGGGTGTCACATGGCATTGTGACGTCAACGATGCAGTCAAAAGGTGGGTAGGGTTAAGGTAGTGGTGCCACAACCTTCAGCCATAACATCGGCGCTGGTTGTGAGGTCGGATAATAGGACTATAAACTGTAGGCACTGTGTATACAATTGGCTCATGTGCACTATAAAGCCATACACTCACTCTGTCGTCATGCGTACGACCGTCGAACGACAAATCCACATTTGCTTCCGGCGAGCGATAGACGACGCAACGCAGTCCGCCGATTGTCAGTGGCAATCTGAACGGATCCTCATTAAAAAGACGGTCCGTTGGGTTCGCGTCTTCGAGTGCGTTCGTCGCATTGCCATCGCACGCAGTGAGTAACCGGCTTTAAGAATCCAGTACATCTTTCGAGACATGTAGGTGGTTACCCTGGCATACTGGTCATCTCACAGCCCCTGCCCTTTTCCAGATGCTGAACAGCTGTTGATGAGTAACTCTAAACTGAATTAGAATTAGAACCCTCCAATCAACTGAAAGTGTACTTACCTTTTGATTGACAGGGAACAGAATGAGAACGGCTGCGACTGGCTTTGGTACCATATCCAGCAATTCCAAACTGTAGATGTCCGTAAATCCCCATTCTTTAGGCATGCCAAGTTTATGAACAAACTAGTAGAATAAATCTAATCCATCATTTTCCATGCATAGAGTACAATTAATATTATGATTAGCTGGCCAGTAACCAGGAGTTGCTATGTTTCAGTCAATCCATTTTTTGAGTGAATTGAAACCCCCCTCTAATAAACTAATCCAGTCACCCCAGATCTCTGGAATAATTGAATTGACTATTTTTAATTGCTAGACAACTTAAGTCCAATGGGGCTTTACCCTGAACCCAAAACAGATATTTTTCTTGAACAACATTAGGATACCTAGGCATCCCTCTGGCCCCCTAGTTTTGATAGAAATCTCCCTGTTCATAATCCTGGTTACTGACCTGATAGTGCAAATTTGTAATTTAACAACCTATCTATACTTATACTTATGTCTACCAATACCCCTCCTCAATTTTTAAATACACGGGGGAAGGGGAGGGGGGGAGAGGATCTAGAGAAAACATGGGTAGCAGTAGTGGAGGGTGAGGTTTGGTACAGTATTTCAGATTTTTGTTTTTGAAATACTTGGCACTTGTACATATAATATAAAATTAAAAATTATCTGTTTTGGAGATTTTTTTCTTCTCTCTGTTCCCCCCCCCCCGCCAACTTGGTGTGTGTGTGTGTGTGTGTGTGTGTGGGTGGGGGGGGGGAAGATAAGTGGGAGGTGCTAAGCTCAAAATAAGATTGAGCCATAGGATTGCTAAGTAATGTAGATTTATATTTTTTTCACTGACCTGTCTTTGTGGTTATCAAGTTTCCCCACCCTCATAATTTTGTGAACATCATAACTTTTAATTTAACTATAAAAATGTCTGAGGAAATAATAAACACCTGGAATATCTATTCAAGGAAGGCGTGTATTGTAAACGGCTCTGAAGTAAGCATCTATTTGAAGGGGGGGGGGGTATTCAAATAAATATGTTATAGAACCTTAAAAACCAATGTTAAAAAAAAACATATTCTTATCTGCCGGAGATCAAACATCGCATCTCACTTACTTTGTTCATTACCTGAAAAAGAATATAAATATTAAGGTTTAGCCATCATAATTTATAATTTATTCTTACTTACTTAGCAGGTAACAGAACATTTAATTGCATTTTTTTGGTTGTATAAATTATTATCTTAATATTAATAATCACGTATCATTTCTCTGTGAAACAATAACAAATTGTTGGTGTAAGATCTTAATTTTTCTTGCTTGGCTATTTTAGAGGCTAAACTACAAAAAACAGTGAATTTTATTGCATCATCAGCAAGAAGGCTAGGGAACCCATCTTGACTTGAGTATTTTGCACTGTCATCATCATATGTTTATAATATTAAATCATATCCTGTATCTTTTAGTCTAGTATGACAGATATCTTTCTACTTACTAGGGCCTAGCCTATGAATATCTGAAGTTAGCCCTTTCCCTCATTCATATACTAGTCTCGCTATTAGGCCTATCGTAGGCCTAGGCCTAGCTTCTATGTAGGGCCTAGTTCCAGTCTCTGTTTATCATAAGTTATGTAGGCCTAGTCATATAGGCCTGGCCAACCTAGCCCTAATAACAATGTGCAATTATACAAATTAATTCAAACAAAACAACTATATACAAATAGGTGTATGATTTTTTTTCAATTTAGGCTATGACGTACAGCACGGATTTCCTACTGACTGTTCTATGCGGTATTGCTTTCCCAAAAACAACCAGGCATGCGTACCTCCTCCTATCTAGGCTAGCCCTACGCCCATCTGAAATTATGCAAAAGGCCTGGCCTAGACTCTCTAGAGAGGCCCTACCTATCTAGCCTTACCAAAGGAGGGTATGTAACTTGTTGAGGTATCACAAAACGGTAGAAAGCAATAGGCTTATATGGACTGAACTTACATCTGGATTTGATTCAAGAGGTAACCACCGGTCTGCAGACATGATGAACTTGATAGGCCCACTTTCTAAACTTGTTTGTACGTCAGTTGTGTCACTGTGTGTAAATGCTGCACCTCCTAAATCGTACCGCGGGGCTGTCATAAATAGCGCCCTCCTACTCAAAGATTAGGTCAATACATTACACCGGCTGTATAAAAATTTATTATAAGATTGAAAATGTTAATCATATTATTGTAGTCAATATTATTTCCACGTTAAATTATTGTTATATACATAGTTAATGTATATTATATAATTTAAAATGTATATTTGTATTATAAAATATTGTTAAAATAAGAATACTGTTTACGTCTCAAATAAAAATATCTATTAGTTGTATATAGACTATAACATAATATGAATGTCTTATTTGTAAAAAAAATAATAAATGTGAAACAAATGATCATTAGTAGGGCCTTATTGGTCTTTTAGACCGTTTAGAGGCATAATAACAGGGCAAATCTAATGTTAGTGTTAAAAATAATACGGAAACAATTCGTTTTAATTTTATGTTAAATGCTCTTTAATTTAATTAAAAAATAAAAATAACAGAATAAAAAATAACAGTAATGATTAAAATGATTCAAAATGATTTATGGAAATTAATTCATTTTTGAACGTAATTTAGAACTACTACAAAAGATTCATTTAAGTTTCTTATAATAATTAATGTATATAATAATATAGGTATTGTGTTAACCTATGACCTATACGAAGCATGAGCTCCTGTTGTAGACCAAACCAGACCAAACCCAGTGCCGTTTCGTTTTAAATCGTATACGGAAAACCCACTCACGATGATACGCTCATTTAATTTATGCTTGCACGCACTGCCGTTTAAGGAGAAAACCCTACGCGACTCACTTCTTTTTATTTTGTGGTTCTGGTTTTTTCCATCTTTACACTTGCCTGATAGCGCTTAGAGACTTTTTGTATTTTGCGCTCTATAAATTAATAACCATTAACCATTATACGTTCCTGGAATTAGAAAGTTAAAAACATAATCATGCCTCTGCTCCAACACCGCATGCCTCCGTTAAAGATAACTAAAACGATGAGCATTAAGTAAGTACAGTAGTAAGAAAATGTAAACACTTCTCACAGAACTACCGATGGTTAGGCCCTGGGCCTATACTACTAGGTAGTTTTCGCCGCGCGGATGACGGCATATGTATTCATCTTGAACCGCGAAGTACGTCAATAGCACGACGTTAACATTAACGTTAACGGATGACGTCATAATTTATTCATCTTGTGTTGCGGAGTTCGTTAATTTCAGAATTTTACGTTCTTGACGTACGTTAATTACGGGTTTGCGTAATTAAGCCTACCTATTAAAACATCGGACATGAGAGTCGTCCCATCAATACCTTATCTTTTCGTCAAGTATTTATTAATACTAATTCCGAGATTGCCATGAAGGGCAGCAAGAACCACCGGATAACGCGGAGGGCGAATGAGTTACCGGTACCACACTTATTCAAACTATTTATATATGCAAATACTCTGTATTCAGTTTTGCAGGTGGGAAAACACTTCAGACAATAACTAAAGGTTACAAAAGGCGGTTAACTTAAGTGCAATACGTTGCAATAAATTCCGCTTTCGTAATTCGGACGCAAATGATAAAACGTACGACGAGGGGTCAGATTTCCCCGTCGAAAGCAAAGTGGGCGTGATCGAGATTCGATTAAAAGGCACCGAAAATGGTCTTGGGGTGGGGGGAGGTGGGTTGGCGAAGCCCCGGAAAATTTTGACAATTTAGGGGTTTCAAAGGCTTACCGTATTTATTCGATTTTATAGTCTACCAATATGTAGAAAATACATATCGTTTTTGTTTCTCCCCGATGAATTGTACTTTTTCTCCCCGACGGGGGGGGGGGGTCAGCTCTCCCCGACGGGGGGAGAGCCGCTGGCGCCACCCCTGACTCATGTAGCAGATACCACATCTGTCAGACATGGAGCGTTGATGGTTGTATTTTAGATCGGAAATTTGGGCTATGTTATTTGTTGTAGTCGTGCGATGTATAAAAATTAGTGCCGAAATGAGAATCATGGGTTAAATTATTTCTCAACGTTTACAGTTTAATCATTGCCGTAGACAGGATTTTCAAAAAGTGCGGGACAAAATTAGAGTGGATCAAATTTACGCTTAAATTCAAATAATGTGGACCCACTTTCTAAAAACCTGCATATAGGCCTAAATAGAAAAATATGAAAAATCTGGGCCCATTTTGTTAAATGTTGACCTATTTTACGCAAAATAAGAGTGGACTCCTTTTGTGCATAACACATAATAATTTAAATCATTAACAAATTAACAAATCAATAACATTGATATTGCATAAAGGATACCGAGTATTATAACAAGGGCCTAAATGAAATCCTGTTAACCATTTCTCCATTACATTATTACAATCCAGAGGCGTATCTAGGTGTCTTGAAATGAAGGGAGGGGCAGGGGTGGCGCCAGCAGGAGGGCCAGGAGGAGGGCCAGGGGGAGGGCCCCGTAGGGGAGGCTCCCCTAATTGGGGAAATCTGACCCCTCGTCGGGCATCGCCCCCACCCCCATCTCCCCCCACTTCGGGGACCTCGGCCTCCCGTTGGGCAAATCCTGGCACCAACCCTAGGGGAGCTCGATAATTAGGTAAAGGAGTGTGCTATCTCGCAAAATAAAGTGATTTTCATAAGATTTTTAACTAGGCCCTACTTAAGCGTGTTTTTTTGTTTTGTTTTGTTTTTTTTGTTTTGTTTTGTTTTTTTTTGTTTTTTTGTGGAAAGGGGCGAACGGTGTGTGTTAATTCACTGCGCACTCCACCACTTGCCACTGGTTCATTATACTTTCCGACTTTCGTGTTATGTGGCACTCCTTCGAGAGGCTCAGGTCTACTGTTTTAGGGATTTCCCACAAATAACTCATATGAAAACGATATTACTGATTCTAAGTAAGTAGCCACGGAAATAGATATGACGGGAAGTGCAAGTGTTATATGCCAAGAAGTACCTGGAGAAGCAGTTAAGATATAAGGATTAAGGCCTATAAAAAGGAAAACGTTTTACAGTGAACTGCACAATAAAACAAACAGTTAAAGCTGATACACTCAAGCATCAAAGGTAAGCATATTCATTTGATTTTGTTTTATATTTACTTTACATTCATTGGTTACATAGATGTATGTATGTTTCTGAAATATTGTACCT